ACACACACACACACACACACACACACACACACACACACACACACACACACACACACACACACACACACACACGTGAGCCTATACCAATACGTGTCCTTATGCAATTGACATTTGAGTTCATTAAGCTCTTAATTTTAATTTGAAATGTTTTGTAAACCCACCAAAGGGGCAGTTGGGATAGAAAGTTCTCACACAGAGTTGAACTCAGAGCCAGCTTGTGTTGAAGGCCAGCCTGAACGTGTTTGTATGTTGCAGCACCGTCTGTCAGTACGTGTATGGCTGTTCTGCTGCGCTAAATTCACCAAAGGCAGCCCAGGTAGAAGCATAACTGTGACCAATTATTCTGAAGCAATTATCTCCTCATTGTTGGGGTTGGCAGGAAAGTGTCTGGCAGCCATTAGAAAAGGTTTTCATCCTTTTCCTTCAATCCAAGCAACTTGGACGCGTTTGATGATTTTCTGTGCAGTTGCTCCCCCACCTCCTTTTTTAATGTAAATCCTACTTCCAGATTGCTCTTTTCTTTGATTTATGTTCTTGTTTTTTTGTGCTTGGACAGGATATCCTTGAATACAAGAAGAAGCAGAGACCCCAGAAAATCAAAATGTTGGATGGAGCTGTTAAAACAGTCATGGTGGATGACTCCAAAACAGTGGGCGAGCTACTTGTGACAATCTGCAGTAGAATAGGTACATCATATCATTCACTTATTTTTGTTTGTTTTCAGTTTATATGTTTGTCTGGTAGGATTGTGCGGTAAATGCGGTAGACGGTAGAAATGGTTTGAAGTTGGCCTACAGTAGAAATTTATACTCTACCGTCCTGTCGTCATTACGTCATCACACCTGTGTCAGCATGGCTGCGAGTGCAGAGACAACTGAGCAGCAGGAGTTCAAAATATAATGAAGAAATTCTAGCGTTTTAAAACACGTATAGAGAAGATAAATCCTCAAAATTTCCTCCTCCCGCTGTAGAAAAGTTATGTTGTGTCTCGGGATCATTTCCTCCCTCTCCTCTCCTCTCCTCTCCTCTCCTCTCCTCTCGCTGCACGTCACGCAGAGCGAAGATTTAACAACCGTAGTTTTTCACACCCAATTGTCAGAGAAAAAAATGTTTTTTATGTATTGTTACCCACAGAGATTATTAAAAATAAGACGTGGAGGTTCATTCAGTCGTAAATCCATCTTGCTAATGTAAAGTCAGCTTCTGCTCTGATGATGATGATGAAGATGAGCGTGCAGCAGAGCAGCAGCTGATAAGTTCAGCAGGCAGAAACTCATTGTTTGGCAGGCAGACATTAAAGCAAAAATGTTGGGTTTAATTAAGATTACAGTTTTATGCAAAAAAAGCTCTAAAAATTACATAATCTTAACTTTTTATGATAATTTTTTACCGCAGTATATACTGTTACCATGAAGGGATTCAATTTATACCGTGATATGAATTTGAGGTCATACCGCCCAGCCCTATTGTCAGGGATCATGTACAGAATAAACATTTAACCCAGTTAAGTAAAGCTGTACTGAACCAGATTGTAGCTAATTTCCATCTGCAGTCTCCATGGCATGTAAAATTAATAAATACTAAATACATATTTTGCCTTCTTTGTTTGTAAACATGAACATTTAGGTGTTACAAATATTGCTTGAATTCAATATGTTTGAATTTGCGCTGAAAATTTTATTTTTTTGGTGTAATGCTGTTGGAAACAAAAACAAACTATTAATGTTCACAAAATCAAAAGAACTGATTTAAATCTGTACTATAACTTTTTATCCGCCTGACTCTCATGAAGATTTGTTATTTTCCTTTTTGAATTCCAGGGATCACAAACTACGAGGAGTACTCTCTGATCCAGGAGACGGTGGAGGATAAAAAAGAGGAGGGGACGGGTACGCTGAAGAAAGACAGGACGCTGCTGCGAGACGAGCGGAAGATGGAGAAGCTGAAAGCCAAACTGCACACAGACGATGACTGTAAGTCTAGAGAAGAACTAAAATTGGAAGGAATGTTTTTCTCACTTCATTAAATTATTTTTACAAAGACGTGTCACAGCTGCCTGTGAAATCTGTCCCCACAATGTGGGATTGTACATCTGTTATGTACAAGTAGGCAGGTTGAGTAAAAGAAACCGATTTGTGTAGAAGACTTTTGCATGGTTCGGTTTTGTGTTCTCAGTGAACTGGCTGGACCACAGCCGGACTTTCAGAGAGCAGGGGGTGGACGAGAACGAGACCCTCCTACTCAGACGCAAGTTCTTCTATTCAGATCAGAACGTAGACTCCCGAGACCCGGTCCAACTCAACCTGCTTTATGTGCAGGTAAACTTCGTACAGAGTGAAGTTCTAAACTATAAAATCACAAGTGTTAATTGTTGAAAAGAAAAATGATTATAGGTTATGCTGTGATATTTTAGGACAGGATGTAACACTTCCTTAGTTTAACAAACTCCTTTCCCTGTTCCTCCAGGCTCGTGATGATATCCTAAATGGTTCCCATCCTGTCTCATTTGACAAAGCTTGTGAGTTTGGAGGCATCCAGGCCCAGATCCAGTTCGGACCTCACATAGAACATAAACACAAACCTGGATTCTTAGAGTAAGCAGCTGTGTCTGTCGATCTCTTTGGTCTGAAGATGGACGATCCATTTAAATAGCATAGCATTTGGTCAAAAAAAGGAAAGCTAAAACTACTGTATAAAAAATGCCTTTTTTTGTGAGGAAAAACTCTGCTATATATCTGACTAAATCAGTAGTTTTCAAACAGTAGGGTAGGTCCCCCGAGGAGACGCAATGTCCCACAGTAGGTTTGTTCATGCTTAAGTTTGGCTTTAAATAATACAACAAATTATTCAAAAAATAAAACCAAAGAAGGGTTAAAAAATTGGACAAGCTTAAAGTTGACTTGTTACTATTTTGTTCTGGTGCCTGTTGGGGTTAGGGAGGGCATGGATAATTATTTTAAGGTGGTGGCTTGACAGAAAAAGTTTAATTAAGATGCCTTATAAATTAAAAGCAAACTAAAAGACTTAAGATATGAACAAACATGAGTTTGTATTTTTTTGAATGAATTTCAGCCTCTCATAAGTTTCTCTTCTTTTCAAGTCTGAAGGAGTTTCTGCCCAAAGAGTACATTAAGCAGAGAGGAGCAGAGAAAAAAGTATTCCAGGTGTGTTAATGTTCTTCTGCTGATGAGTTTTATGTTCATTTTGACAGTGCTGCCTCGTGTGTTCTGATTCTCATGTCCTGAAAAAAATCTCACCTGCAGGAACACAAAAACTGCGGAGAAATGACGGAGATTGAAGCAAAAGTGAAATATGTCAAACTGGCACGGTCATTGAGGACGTATGGAGTCTCCTTCTTCCTGGTCAAAGTAGGTTTATGTAGGTGTATAAGAAAATGTTGATACTCTTAAATATTGCAATATTTCATTTCTCAATATTCTATTGATTCTCTAAAGCACTGTTTTGATTTTTAATTGAAGTTTTAAATGTAAACTTTCATGCCAGCAGTTGATTTTTGTCTTGTAGTTTAGCCTCTGACCACTAGTTGGCAGCAGTCAGCCAGCCATTTGGCTCCTCCCATTTTAAAGAGCCAGAGAGTATAATGCTAGCTCAAATGTTAGCATTGTGAGTAAACATTAGCGCTAATTACGATTAGCTGAATCTGAGTGGATTAGACAGACACACGCTGCCTTCAAAGCTGAGGTAGGATTGCCAACTATGGGAAGTTTGAAGCTGAAGCTTTGGCACATGTATTGAAAACACAATTTTTCAGAAGCACTGTATCAGAGCTTGATTTGTTTGGTAAAGGTCACATGATCAATGACGTCTGAAGCTTCGAAAGTGTTGAAGTTACGTCACTGCTTTGGTATTGTTTCAAAAGTTCTCGAGGCAGTGAATCATTGGCCAGATTCATGATGTGTTTTGGAAGCAAATTTGCGCAAAATACAACAAACCAGTGAACAACTTGTGTGAGACATGGAGCCAGAAAGCTTTATGTGTTTAGTTTACCAATTTATAAGCCCTTTTATCCCAAGAAGAAAAAGACAGTATGTTCATAAGATACAATATGGTCTCACAGTTAACATAAACTGGTTGAATAAAGTTATGGAGGCAGAGAACTTGCAGCCCAAGCGTCGTTGCAAACTGAGTTGTGAATAAGTTGTGATTTTTTTAATATTCATGCCACGGCACACTTTAAAAACTGTGTAAAGTAAAAATAAATGTGTGTTTTGAGGTTATCACACCACAGAAATATGTGTTAAAGGGGCAATATTATGTGTTTCTCAAGCATACATTTAAATACTATACCATAATAAAGTATCTACACTCACCGGCCACTTTATTAGGTACACCACGCTAGTAACGGGTTGGACCC